CTTGAGGTCCTTGACGCGAACAACGGACTCCTCATGTGCGGCGTGATCTACGGCGGTCATGCCTACACTAGGATCGGCAGCTTGAGACGGGTCTGCATTGGGGAACTGGCCAGGGCCTCCCCCACCTCCCCCACCACCATTCATGGTGAGGTATGGGCAATCCGTGTCTTCATGGCTGCCGCCGCAAACTCGACATTGTGGGGTATCATCATCTCCATCAGAGTCTGATGATGTGTCGGAGCTTGCTGCCGATGGCGCTTGTGGGGATGACGAGTACAACCCTCCCAACATTGTGATTGGTACTGGCGGAACAAGAGTGCCGTTGCCAGCTTTTGTCGGAGGCGGCGCCCCTGCAAGGGGCATGGGAGGCGCTGGAGGTGGTGCGGCCGGAGGCGGAGGTGGCGGAGCCACTTGATTGGCAACCAATTGGGAAAGCTGCTGAACCATTTCCGCTAAAGCTGTCACTTGCACTCTCACATCGGCTTGATCCCTTGGACCGTCTCTACCCAACCCGCTAGTCCTCGACGCGCCGGGGGCTGCGTCTCCAACAGAGGACGCTGCTCCTAGCACTGCCGAATGGCCTACGAGATGTTGACTTGTTGCACCCCCACCAGGGTCCCTTGAATCAGCTGGGGCATCGTGACCAAGTCCTGTACTTTGAACAGAACCACACGGGGGGTCGGGGATAGTACTTGTAAAAGCATTCCCTTGCGACGATGCGGCAACACCGGAGGCATCTTGTGAACCTGAAACCTGAGGTGCTCCAACCGGCTGATGGGTTTCTGGGGGAACTGTGCCTTGACTAGAGGCTTTAGCCGCGCTTGTTTCCGTAGCTGTTTCGGCTATTGATGCGGCTTTTGGCGGGGACTCTTGCATCGGAACAGGGGTCGCACGAGCTTGTTGGGTGAGGTGCGCAACAACACGTTCGAGATCACCAAGTCGTTGATGCATCACAGAATTTTCCTGGGACAATCCACGAATGGTATGCTCTTGACTGGCAATGGTTTGTTCTCTTTGTGAGATTGCCTGTTGAGCCTCTTGAACAATGCGTTGAACCTCATGCTGAGCGTCCTGTTGAGTGGCATTAACAACCTGTCGTGCGTTCTCGACATGGCCAATGGCTTCCTGTCGTGTCTGCTCGATTAGTTGCCTAGCCTGAGCCTCACTTTGTTGTGCTGTTTGTACAGCCTGCTGTGCTTGCGAAGCTAGCTGAGCGGCCTGAACCCTAACATCTGAAACTTCTCTTACAGCCCTTTCCCTGATCCATCCGGCCTCTTGTCTCGCCTGATCGGCGGCCTGCTGTTGGTGCAAGGCGTGATTGGCTGCCTGAGCAGCGAGGTCGGATGCTCGATGAGCTTGCTGCACCGCAGCTCCAGCTATAAATGCCGCAGCGGGTACGTTAGTCATCGGGTCAGGTAATTGCGATCCCTGTGAAGGAAACTGAATGGCTGGGGAAGCTTCGGATGATGTCGGTTCTGACACGATCGGACCACTCGGGGGTGATGATGGTCGTGTTTGGGCTGCTCGTTGAGGTGTGGATGTGCGAACTGTGGACATAACTGCAGGAACCATGGCTAGGTCAGGGTCATCCGGTTCAGAATCCCTATTTGGGGTTGACCTTGAACGGGGTTTGATGGGGTGATAAGCAAGCCCGTTGCCACAGCGATGCAATTTTGCACTCACACGAAGCTAGCTCCACGCGCTTTGAGCAGCGTGTCAAAAGGTGCTACGAGGAGATATCCCTGGATTGGCAGCTGGTTGCGAAACGCTCAAGTGAGCCACTCAAGAAAATACGCCCTGCTGCTTTGCACCTGATGAATTCTGTATTTGTAATTGTACTTGTAGATTGATTGATCCGCACTGCCGCACTATGGTGCTTTATCGAGGGATGTTGCCAAGCTGTATTGAGAATTTGTCTGCAAATCGAATGCCTGTAACTGCAAAATGCTGTACCGCGCAAAGCGACGGTTTTAACGGCTTGCAACAAAGGCTATCGAAGTACCCGGCTGGCGGGCAACTGGGATGCAGATCGGTGGAGCTCCTCGAGGTACTGCGATGGATGCAGGCCCCTCGCCGCCGGAATGAATTGTCTGTTCCGGGACTCGATAAACTCACCGAGGTTCTCAAGTGCGTTGGCAAATCCGCCCGGCCCGAAGTGCGGGAAGTTGCGGAACGCCGCGATGCCTGTCTTTTGAGCTTCACGGACAATCGATGCTGTATCGTCAATAAGGGCGTGAACGCCCAGCCCTTGAAGGGCGTCTGCTTTGCCTCCCCTACCCAACCGTTCGTGTACGATTTTTATCGCAGAGAAAGTGAGTCCAGATGTCGCCCGCGCGTGCTCCAGGGCGACCTGGAACTCGCGGCGGCGATACTCGCTCGCAGCCCTGCCCACGAAGGATAGCACTATAAAATTTATAGGTGCGTAGTCCGCTGCAAACTGAACGAGATGTCGGATCACTTCCGGGTTGAGGTGGGGTCCCTGCTGCCCAACGTCAAGAACTCCGTGCCAGTCAAGAGCAACAACAAGCTCCTTGGGCGGCACAGGCCTTCCAGGCGGAGGTGGTGGCGGCGGTGGCGCAGGCGGTGCCCTTCTTGGTGGCGATCGAAAGCGTGGGCCAGCCCCGGGAAGTTGCAGCGCTAGCAGCAGCTGCTTGAACGACCTGCGGAGGTGGCGGCTTGACGATGTACCCGAATTGTGGCGGGTTTGAGCTCGATTTGCTTCTGGGTTCGGCCTTGTTCAAACCTCGCGGAGGCGCCTTGTACCCGAATGCACTCTGAGTCCGAACAGGAGATCTTGCTCGTGGCAGTGATTTCCTCGGAATATCTGCTTTTGCCGGTACCGAAGAAGCTGCCCTGGGGATTTCCTTGGGCAATGGAGGCTTGCTGCCAAAAATGACCTTTGGTGCGGCCTTTGGTGGCGGCGGTTGAACTGCTCCAATTCTCCGGCTGTGCAACGCGATGGGCTCAGTGCCTCGTATACGCGCCGAGGCACGTAGGCTGCCCTGCCCGTTCTGATGGATTCCGCGTCTTGCGGAGGTTCCTCTTCCGAGCTGTAGGCGTCGAGGCGGAAGTGCTCCGCCGGCGCCGGGCGTCGATCAGGAGATCGTGAGCGCGAGCTCGTGGATGATCTTCTTGGGGGATCTCTCCACGTCTCGTCCGCGAGCAAATACGGGTCGGCCTGGCGGAGTTGCCTAGACGTCCGTTGTGCTCGCCGATGAGATGCCGCCTCACGTGGCTGTGAAGCCTCCCGAACAAGTACCCAGGCGCCGTGCTCGTCAAATCTAGTCACAGGGTATATGCTATTCTGTGGAGCCAAAACGATGGGCCGTGTGGCAAGGGAGGTCCTGGATGGCCTGCCCTCCCGCGCAAGCGCGGGTTCAACACTATGAGCCCGTTGTTCCACAGGGGTAGCAGCAGTTGGTCCTCGTCTCGGAGTCGATGATGGAGACCTCGACCTTCGGGGCGATGGGGACCTCGATCTTTGTGTTGACCGTTCCCTGCTGCTCTCCCGCCGCGTTTCCGCAGCTTTAGCGTACACCCCGCGAAGTGTTGACTTGGCGGCTTGTCTTTCCTCTGCAGATGGCCGGATGCGAGGCAAAGGAGTGCGCGAATCTTGCAGCCAGGAGGAAGCCGAGGGAGGCGTCGGAGGGCGTAGCCAGTCCGCTGCACTGCTCGTTGCTTCCGCCGCGCCTGAGGCTGCGGCTTGATCCTGAGATGGCACACCTTGCGGCAAGACCACACCTGTGGTTTCAACCGATGCGAGACGCTGCTGATAAGCGTTGTCCGCGGCCTGGATCACGTCGAAGGCCTCTTGGTCAAAATTCCACAGGTGCCAACTATCCAATGACTCACGCCAGGAAAAGAGCGCCTCGACCTGTTGCTTCGAGGCGTCCGCAAACCTGATCCACCGGAATCGTCTGTTCTGCCGCTTGTACTCGTCGACGACGATCTGTTGCAGAGTATTGAATAAGCGGGCACGCGGCCCTTTCCCACCGCGAGTGCCGCGGTGAGGGCCGGCTTCCATGTGCGACCAACAGGTCGCAGTCACGGAAGGGTTTGTTTACCCGAAAAGCGTTACGGCTGATAACCACTCAAAGGAGAGGGAAACACAGTTTTGTCAACAACGGGGGAACCCGGGACCTTAAAAGGAACGAACCCCTCCGTGACTGCGACCTCTCCCTTAACCTTGGGGTTAGCGCGTGCAACGCGCTGTTTTCAGCACTTGAGCCAAAGCAGTGATTAGATCATGCTCAGGCTTTGAACATTGACTTGAATGTACAACATGCAACTGACTACATGAGAACCTACCTCATGTACCTCTGGGCCATAAATGTCATCGTGATAATTGACTCATTTGACCCCAAAGTGAGTGCCTTCGCTTAGTCACAGTAGGTTGCATGCTTCCCAACCTCCGACAAGGGACCCTGAAGCCACCTCAATTGGCATCAACTGGCCCAAGGCACCACGTTCTGAGACAGCGAGCGGATTTTGGTCAAAACCTGCTTGGCTCCCACTTGGCTCACTCCAATCAAGGAGACTCCCCTGCTAGAGCTTCACATGGCTGCGGAAAATTGCCATGGGACTTCCAACCCATAGTCCAGTTTATTTCGTTCAAAAGGGCTCACCCACCGAAAATGCCCAAACTGCAACCAAATCTTGCGCGACGCTGGCCGTGTTCGTACTAGAACTCGGAAAAGTATCAGGGAAACCCAAGCCCTCCCCCAAGGACCCTTGATTGTTGCCTTAAATTGGGAGGGCGGCCATGATGTCTGCCCAAGCGCTCAGAGAACCGACCTTAAAAAAAAGGGGGGTGGGGGTTCCCCCACTTCCATTCATCCACCCATGAAAGGGAAATGTGCTTTTTGAAAGACCCACAAAGGTCTTGGGCTGTACATCTGAACCCCCCCCCAAAAAAAAAAAAAAAAAAAAAACGTTCCAAAACGCAAGCAGCAAACACCCAACAACCCCCAAAGCCGCAATAACGCCATCCGTCGCCGCTCCTGACCCCAATGAAGGCATAGGCGCTGAGGAACGCCGCAGCGCCTCTCGAGAGGCATCTTTCCCATCCGAACGTATGACACCGGTTTGGAAAACATCGAATGTTAATCCCAGATGAAGAACCCCTCCAACAGTGATGATCCCCCACTAAGCCCAGTGGGACACCCCCCTGACAATAAACTGGGGTCGATAAATCCGGGGTCAACATGAACATGTACCCTCCTGTCCACCAACATGGAACCTAACTGAGGGGTGCTGGCTTGGACCATTGTCCTTTAAAAGGGGCTTTCTGGTGGGTTTCACGGCAACGTGGACAGGAGAGTAGATCGAAAAGAAGCAAAAAGTGCGAGAGAGTACTTTGAGAAAATGAGAAGTACCAAGGGCCATGGAAAAAAAGAGCGCGTTCAAACCAGTGACAAACTGGCTCCAAAACTTGACCATCGCCAACGTCACCGCACAGAGACGTGCGGTTCAAAGAGAAGGTCCTCCTATTTTTCTTCTCCACAAATTCCAGTCGTGATATGTCTCAAGTTGACGCAGCAGTTGTCTATTGTTTTTAGAAGACGGCGCGCGTTGTCAGGGGGGGTGCACCAGTCATAAAAGGATGCATTGACTGTGTGTGTGTGTGTCTTTGTTTGAGGAGGGCTCCCGTTGTATGCGCATGTCTCGCAAAGTGGCGGGGGGCCAAAAGATCTGTTCCGGTTGATATCCTTTTAACCCGACTCCCAAAAAGGCACCCTCACAGAAACACTCACACACACACACAACACTTTTCTGGGGCAATGCGTACAGGGAACAGTGACAACATGGGGAACCCTGTGGTGTGTCAGGACTTCACCGGGCCGGTGCTCGGAGGGGCCAGGTCCGATAGTCTTTCACCCGTCCTGATCATTTTGGGAAACCACAGGCATCTGGTGCCTCAGCAAATTTGCCGAAAGCACATTCCAATGCCTTGGGCAAGGCTCTCCAAGAGGGAGGGGATCTTTGTTGCCCTGGCGAAACCCCGCCCAGCCCTTCGCAACCAACCTGCCAGCAGCAGCGGCAGCAAGCGCGGCATCTGCAAAAGAACACCGACCCCCCGAAGCTTGACGCTTTCGAATTTCTCAATTGACAAAACCTTCGCTGCGAGAGCTGTCGCAGTTGCCGGTGCAACGCGGGCGTTAGGCACCCAAGACCACCTGCGATATGCCCGCCATCTACCCTCGCCCCTGACTCTCACCAAACGCAGAAGTGCCTGGCTGGAGCGGCGGCTCGCCATTGCCGGCAAAAATCGCGGCCTTGCTCGTCCTTGGCGTGTTTGTCGTCTGAGTCGGTGCCTTGACTTGACTTCATGCCCGAAAGCTGAAGCAATGCTGCCACATCGCGCCCTGAAACTCGGCAAAGCGATCCTGAGCCAGAGGATTCACGTGGCCCGGGCACAAAGAGAAATTGGGCATCACAGCAAGGTCCCTGGGACACAGGCACGTGGTGGTATGGTTCTTCTGCAAGGGCTATCGGCTATGGCTATGAAACAAGGGAAACGCAAGACCAAACCTGGCCTCTAAACTCCGACCACCAGAAGCAAGCAAAGAACCCAGGCACTGATCAAAAGCTCGGCCCCGTTTGACACGTGCCCCCATGCGGGCAGTTCATTCCAAGCAAGCCGACATCCTCGCCCTCCAAACAAAACCATTTTGTAAGCTCACCGGAAAATCCAACTGTTAAAGACCTAGAGGGCTAAGGCTCCACCAAAGACCAGCCTTTTCATGGACCAGCCATAACAAAGCAACCCCACCCACCCACCAATCAACACACCCGCAAATCTTGCATTTTCCTCTTCGGCACCGCCCAAGTCTAGGCATCCGACTGTGCTACATCCGAAAGCACGCTATATAGGGAACTACGCGTTATGCCGTGCAAACTCAGCACCGGCCGGCCTGAGAAATCGCCGGCCGGCGGCCGGCTAGAGAACAAAAGACCAACCTTTGCCTCAGGCGGCACCTTCAAACTCCATGAGATCTCTGATCCTCGAAGAAATCTCCAACCGAACCAATTTGCCAGCCGGCGTGAGAAACCAGCTCGGAAACCAAAGGCTCCGTTGGTGATCTGTGTGAAAGTGCGGGAAGGCACACACCCACCTGAATCTCAAAGGTTGCCCGGCCCGCCGTTGCGGCGCATGGCCGGAGATCAAGATACTCCCAGCTCAGACTCAGGAGGAGTATGAGGAAACACCCGCCTGAGCCGCGCAAGACTTACGAACCAGCCAGGGTCACAGGCTTTCCCTTCAAAAGCCTATCAACTTGCCGGTGGCCGCCATTGAAACTGCCACGTTTGAAAGAGAATGCAGGAAACTCTTGAAAAAGACAAGAAACGCGAAGGGCTGCAAATGAAAAGAACTTGACGGCACCCAGGTTTGGCCTCAGCCTGCAGCCTTGAAAGAATTGCACGGAGCCCAAACTTCGCACCATGTTCTCTCTTTTGAGCATGTACCGTTATGTGGGTGTGACTTGTTGGTATCCTATTCAGCCAACCTCAAAAAGGGAACCCTCAAAAAGCACAGTGACTGTGATCAGGTTGGGGACCAATCCTGTCACCCGACTCGGATGACACGTAGGCATCCAACAAGCCCTGTCTCGTGCAAAATGTATGCCGCAAGAGCATGCTGTGAGCTCAGGCGGGAGCTTACGCTTTGCCTCTTACGTCCACATTCAAAAAGCGTAAAATACAACAACAAACATTGGATTGCGGCACAAGCGCGTGCAACATTTGCACGGGCAACCTTCGCGCAACACTGGCCGAAGCCGCTGAATCGGCACCCAAGTTGCATTGCCAAGTGGTCACGGTCCAACCGCCGGTCATGATGATAAATACTCATGTCGTACCTCACTCTTTCCCAACCTCAACGCCTCCCCCCCCCCTCCACCAGCCCCCGAGTCTCTCCACCTAGCCTCACCCTCGCAAATCGATTGCCCGCAGCCAAAAACAAAAAGTCCAAACTTGCGAATCTCCCGCCAAACCGACCTCCCACCAACCGACGGACCGAGAATGCGCCGCCGTGCAGGCCAGGCTCCGAGGGGTAGTCCCCCTTGCGGCCGCCGCCGAAGGCCACCGCCGCCGCGCGCATGATCTGCGCCACCAGGTCGCCCTCCGCCTTCAGGGTGCTCACCGCCTGAGCCGCAAGAGTCGCAAGACGGCCAGGCGGTGATGCCCAACTTGTGGAGGAAAGCTGCTTGAGTTGCCATGAAACCGAGGCCATGCAGACCAAAAGGGAATTTAAGGACTCCCGACTCCTGCCGAACTTCCAAAAACAACGTGGCTTGCCATCGCCTGGAGCTGTGCGCGCAGACTGCCGCTGCGGTCCAAGAAGTTCGCCAGCCACGCGATCTGCTCGTTACCCTCCTGAACCGAAATGCATCCTTGAGTCAAGCTTTCCAAATTTGGGCGCCTCTTGGGCCTCTTTCTTTCCTGCAGGATACGCCGTTTTGGCGGCAAGGAACGACCACTATGTTGGGTGGGGGTCCCGGGGTCCCCTTAAAAAAAAAAAAGGACACCCATGTGCCCAGGACTCGTGCCAAGAAATTAGCCAGGAAAAAAGCCGGAGGGTGAAACCCACTGGTCCTCCCAACCCTCTGGTCCTCCTATTTTGGGGACCCACGGTAGCCTGACAGGTCTCACCTTGGAAGGACAAGCCAAACAAGAGAGCGCGCCCCCACAAAGTTGAAGCCAGCCCCCTGATGATTCGAGTGCTAAGGTGCTTTTCTAGCTGCACCTTGTCGCACTCGCTGCAATTGCGAAGGCGCTCTACAGTTTTGGTGGGTGTCTTTGTTCAGAGTACCTTGTTGGGACCGTTTTTGGGAAAGGACACCACATACTGCACCAGGAAGCGTAACACCCTCATCGGGCTGCCACGGCTGTCTGGCGCCTAAGATGCCGTGGAGCATGACAAAATTCCCTGAAACAGAGCCCACGAGAAGAAAAGTCTCGCTTTTGGTGAGTGAGAGAAATCTTAAGTTGCCAATGCTTGGACTCTGATTCTCCTGGTCCTGGTGGCATCCAAAAGCTCAAGCGGCCAGATAGGCTCCACTCGCCCTCTCCAATGATCGCACGATCGTCCTACATGCCGATCCCAGGCCGTTGCGCAACACGTCGCACGTCGCACGCGCGTTGTGCGGCCCATTCCGCAAGCCGCCGTTGACTCTTGTTCACAGGAGGAACCAGGCTTCCCCAGCAAGCATGTTAGCGCATCGTCTTGCTGTCATATGCCCCCGCCGTCAAACTCCGCCGCCGCCCTCCAGGGCGGCCAAGCACAGGGCCTTCAGCTCACCATGCGCCCAACAGGGTCGACCCGGATAAGAAAACAACGTGGCCTCGCGCTTGGTCCCAAGGAATGGTTCCCCAGGAGCTGCTTGGCCTCGTTGTTTCGGGCCCGTCCCCGATTCTTCGGCCGCTTTAAAGGGCCAGGGAGTGCTGAATGCGTGTGCCGTGAGGAGCCGCCCCGGCCCCAGGAATACGAGATCCGCCGGGCCGCGTTGCGCGGAGTTCTTCGTCGGATTCGGCGGCGAAGCGGCGGATTCGGCGCCGGGGACACGTTGGCCTCAAGGTCGCCTTGCTCGGACGGTGTGACCTCCCTGGAAGTGATACACCGGTGGCACCCCGAGCCCCTCCGCACCCGCCCCGCACCCGGCCAGCGGTGCAACAGCGAGCCGTTAGGACGCTGTTGGGTAGGGCGAACTTTATTAGATCCATGATTCTGCGAATGTCTGCGTTCACATCCTCAGACGAAAGCGTTGCTGTATCAATATACGGTGCGTTTAGTCACGCTGAAATCTAGACTGCGTATTCGTGACAAGTACAACATGCTTTGCAAAACTTTAGCATGACCAGGGAGATGCTGCACATATATATATACATATATATATATATATACATATGTATATTGACCCACAGCTGACCTTCACATGCCCCAAATTTCGCAACAGCGGTGCCTGAATGGCCCAAAAGCCCACAAACAGACCCACGGTGGTCGAATGAGGATCGGGCGCTGGACCAAGCTACTGGATAAGCACATGCTGACGGCAGCATGTACAACCCGTGTGACAGCCTCCAAAGATGGCAGCGTTGTCGCAATTTGGACCCCGCACAGCTCACCTGGCCTCAGAGTATTCCTCCGCCTGGGAGCTGTGCAGCTTGTCCAAGGTCGCCTTCACTGTAGCCTCCGGCCAAGGCAAGGCTTTGAGCGGATCTCGTTCCGTTGAAGTGTGCGCGTGAGTCATACTAACACCCAGCCACCCCACATTTCGACAAGGAATTCTAAGAACTTGTAGGCTGAAGGCATTATCAAAACTCCTGTTGCAAACCTCAACCGGACCCAAACCACCCGACCAATCCAAAATACCGCAAACCAATACCACCCAACCCAACCCAAACCAACCCGACCCAACCCACCCCAACCCAACCCCACCCCCCCACAAACCCCCCCCCCTCCCCCACAAACCCCCCCCGCCTCGTCCTTGGCCAACTTCTGGTCCAGCTCCATGAGCGCCTCCACGGAGCAGCCCTCCTCCAGGCACTCCTCGCGGCGGCCGAGCCGCTAGCTCTTGGTCCCCGGCCCCCCTGGTGACATTCGCCAATTTCAAACGGCGGGTTCCCCTATTTCACACAAGCCCAGCAATGCCCCGTTACCAAAACCAAGCTGGGGAAGGGAGTCGGAAGCCACTGGAGGGAAAGGGAGGAGAATTGCAAAAACTCTGAAACATCAAGAGGAATCGGGAAGGGCAAGAAACGAAACGCGCTGTTGAGCCACCCGCCTGGATGGCTTTGTTGGTTGACTCGGAGGCCTCCAGAACCGGCGTTGGCAAGTGCTTGGACTTCACCACCTGGCCGTTGCCGTGAAGCGTAATTAAAGGCCACGCAAAAGTCGCACCCCTTACCCTCACACCCCTGCCCCAACCCCCCAACCCCCACAACCCCCCGCCCCTCACCGGTCCCTGCCAAAACCGCCGAGCCGCCGAGCCCTCCACCCCGAGGTTCAGCTTCCCCTGCTCGAAGCCCGCCCGGCGCGGCGTGGCGCCGCCCCGGGCCGTGCCTCCCAAACTGCTGGGTGAACATCCACAGCCACTCCAACCGAAGAAGTTCTTCAGCGCGAGGGGAAGTTCTACAAGTTTGGCAAAACCCAAACCCTGGTATTTGATAAGTTGGCGAACTTCCTGTCAGTTCTCCTGGAATGCAAACACGTGTCCAATTGGAACACTCATGTGTGCACACGTGAACACGCTTATGTGTACACGTGGAACACACACACACCAGTGTTCGGCTGAAAACAAACATGTGTTCACCTGGAAAACATACACGTGCCTGATAAGAACACACATGTGTGTGCACGACACACATATATGTGTACACGTGAGAATCACACATGTGGACAAGCACAAAGGGAACACAGACACACATGTGTACTGAACACGTGAACCCACACATTTTTATGCGCACGCAGAAACACAAACACACACGAGTATTCATCTGATAACAAACACGTGTTCTCCTAGAACACAATCACGTGTCTACGTGTGCACATATGCAGCATATGCACATTCTACGTGTACACAGACGTGTGTTCACGTGTGCCCACATGTTCAAACTGGACACGTGTGTGTGTGTTTCAGGAAAACACATGTTTGTTATCAGATGAACACGTGTCTGCTCCGCACCTTTTTGCACATGTATGTGTGTTCACGTGGATGCATTTGTGTGTTCCACTTATACAAATGTTCCAACTGGACACGTTTTTGTGTTCCAGGAGGACATGTTTGTTATCAGACGAACACGCGTGTGTGTGTGTGTGTGTGTGTGTGTGTGTGTGTGTGTGTGTGTGTGTGTGTGTGTGTGTGTGTGTGTGTGTGTGTGTGTGTGTGTGTGTGTGTGTGTGTGTGGTGTGTGTGTGTGTGTGTGTGCGTGTGTGTGTGTGTGCGTGTGTGTGAGTGTGTGTGCGTGTTCCGGGTGTGCATATATATGTGTGTGTGTTTGCGTGTACATATGTGTGTGTTCCACATGTACACACATGTGTGTGTGTTCACATGTACACATATGCGTGTTCCACGTGTACACATGTTTTTGTTCACGTGTGCACACATGTGCGTTCCAACTGGACACCTGCATGTGGTATGGTCCAGGAGAACACATGTTTCTTGTCAGATGAACACTTGTCTGCTCCGCATGCGCATGTATGTGCGTTCACGTGTGCGCAAAGGTGTGTTCCACGCGTACACATTTGTCTGTTCACGTGTGCGCACATGTGCGTTCCAAATGGACACGTGTTTGTGTTCCAGGAGAACACATGTTTGTTATCAGATGAATGCGTGTGTGTGTGTGTGTGTGTGTGCGTGTGCGCGTGCGTGTGCGGGTGCGTGTGCGTGTGCGTGTGCGTGTGCGTGTGCCTGCGCGTGCGCATGTATGTCTGTTCACGTGTGCGCAAATGTGTGTTCCACGTGTACACATTGGTGTTTTCACGTGTGCACACATGTGTTCCAACTGGACGCGTGTTTGTGCTTCAGGTGAGTACATTTTTTACGTGTACACATATGTGTGTCCCACGTGTGCACTGACGTGTGTTGACGTGTGCGCACTTCTGTGTTGCAACTAAGCACGTGTGTGTGTGTGTTCCAGGAGAACACGTGTTTGTTTTGAGATGAATACTCTTGTGTGTCTGTGTTTCCGCGTGCACATAGATGTGTGTGCAGTGCACATGTGTGCGTTCCCTTGTGCACATGCGCGTGTTCACGTGTGCACATGTGTGTCTTCCACATGTACATGTGTGTCCAAGTTGGAAAACAGAGGTGAACACACGTCGGTGCACACGTGGGACACACATATGTGTACACGTAAACGCCCAAATACATATGTGCACTCGGAACAACAAACATGTGCTCACCTGAAACACAAACACGTGTCCAATTGGAACACACATGTGTGCACGCGTGAACACACACATGTGTACACGTGGAACACTCATATGTGTGCACAAATGAACACACATACATGTGCACGCGGGAGCAGACCCAAACACACACACACCCACACCCACACCCACACGCACACGCACACGCACATCGCACACGTGTCCATCTGATAACAAACATGTGCTCTCCTGGAACACATACAGTTTCCCAGTTGGAGCGCACATGTGTGCAGAAGTGAACACACATATGTGTACACGTAAAACAGGCATACGTGTACACGTGGAACACACACACACGAGCGTTCATCTGAAAACCAACATGTGTTCACCTGGAAAACATACACGTGTCTGACAAGAGCACACATGTGCGCACACGTGAACACACGTCTGTGTACACGTGGGACACACATATGTGCTCAAACACACACTTGTGTGTGTGTGTACATGTGAAACACGCATATGTGTGCACGTGAACAGACTTTTGTGTGTACACGTGGAACACACATATGTGTACACGCAAACACACACATACACACACACATACACACACACATACACACACACACGCACGTGTCCAGTTAGAACGCAAGTGCACGCACACGTGAACACACGTCTGTGTACACGTGGAACACGCATTTGGGTACACACAGACACACATATGTGTACAGGTGGAACACGCATGTGTACACACGCAGACACACACATGTAAAGGCACACCCGGAACACGCACGCGCACACACACACACACACACTTGAACTCCAAATGGAGGGCGCTAATCTTTCGAGTACAACTGATGAGTCTCGAGTACAACTGATGAGTCTCGAGTACAACTGATGAGTCTCGAGTACGATGAAGGTTTCGGCTCGCAATGCACTTGGCTTCCCTGTAGCTACTTTAACAGGGACACACAGAAGCAACTGCGGTTCAGGGAGGGGACCAAAAGGACCTTAAATCACTTCTGCAGGTACGTTTGCGCAGCAAGCTGGATGGGTCTTCGTTGGCCCGCGCCATCCAGTTGCTCGCGGGCCCCCTGCGTGAGAAATTGTGGTGGCAGGGTATTCTGCCACTCCGCACACACACGCGTGTGTTCGCCTGATAACAAACATGTGTTCCTGCAACACACACACACACACACATGCGTACACCTGGAACACATATGTTTGTAGGTCTGCAAAGCACATTTCTGTTCACTTGCAACACACGTTTGTGTGGAACCCATACATGCGCTCACTTGAAACAGGCATTTGTGTTCACGCGCAACACTGGTGCAGACCTGGATCACACAAACATGTTTAACCAGAACAAACTTCTGCGCTGACTTGAAACACACATGTGTACACATGGAACACACGTATCTGCACATGTGGAGAAACATGTGAAACACAATTGTGCAGCACACATGCGTTCACCTGGACAGTCACATGGAGCTTACATTCTCTGCACACCTGTGCGACACATAAATCAAGTTCCCGAAGCCGGCTGTGAGGCGCTATTCCATGGAGCTCTGCCTTCAACATCGCTTGTGCTTTATATGCATCGTGTGTAATCAATCTAGCAATTTTGCAACACGTTGCTAGCGCGCGAGCCTGCTGCTGCTACTACTGCTAATACTATCAGTATCGGGCGCGCCTCCAGCATTTACAGGCTTCATCTTAGCAAAAGTTTTCCGGCGCATTGCGCTTCTTTCTCGCTTGGCTGCACAGTGTCTTTCGTATCGAGCAATCTGTTGCTCGATAGAACGCTCTAAAGTTCCTTTAGCGTATTGTGGCAACTCTTCGTATCGATTCAGTAAGCATTTGCTTTCGCAGGGAAATACGCAACCCGCTTCTTCCATATGCTCGGTACAAGGCGTCCCTTGTCTCCCGTTTGTCCAGCAAATCGCAGAACAAAATAATTGCATGCGAGGAGGGCGGAAGCAAATTTGCATTGAGGCGTAACTCACAGCTGACCACTGTGCTAGCGCCTTGCTAGTTCGCGGCTAGCGCGGCTTCGCCGTATTTTGTTGGAGTCACGGCGACCATCTGTGTGGACTTGACAAATTACAGCCACGTAAGATGAAGGTAAACGTGCAGGCTGGCTGCAAGTACCATAGTAAGAACTGCAACATTACACCCTTGAAAGCCACACAAAGCCCATCGAAGCAACCCACGCGCCAACTCTTGGAAACCAAGATCACCGAAGACCCTAGCGCAAATCACGCACCATCCTAGCGCCTCCAGTGGGGAGCGGGCAATCCATTTGCATTTGCAGGACCCCGCTTTGTGTGAATGAAAAACTGCACAAAGTGACTGCGACGGCGGCCTCTGTAGACTAAGCTCCCTTACTAAGAATTTTGACCGGATCGCACATGTGTTTTTCAGAACAATCGCACGCTTTCACCTGGAACACAAACATGTGCTCACGTGGAACACACTCATGCGGACATGACAAAAAACGTGTTGACTTGGAATGCGCCGATGTGGTCAGCTGGAAACCAAGAACACACAATCATTCACTCATGCATGCATCCGCAGCCTGCTGCCTGCGCTCAGACACGCGTTTCTGAGCCTCAAACACACATGCCTGCCCGCGGCACATGAACCCGTCACAGCTGGAAACAAGTAAAGGGAGACAAAGGGAGACAAATGAATCCGTCCACCCACAGAACCGTGCCAGGCATCCAGGCTGGGAGACAACAAGAAGGGAGACAAATGCATCCGTCCACCCAGAAGCAAGACGAAGGCAGACAAATGAACCTGTCCACTCAGACAGCCATGCCAGGCATCCAGGCTGGGAGAGAACGGGAGACAGTGTGCGGAGAGGCGACAAAAGACTTTTGTCTCCCATTGTCTCCCAGCCTGATGTCTGGCACGGGTGGAGCAAGGCAGAGGCATCGGGTTGGGAAACAACAAGAGGCAAATGGGAGACAAAGGAAGACAAATGAATCCGCAGACGGGGAGAAAGATGAACCCGTCCGCCAAAGGGAGACAAATGAATCCTCGAAGACGATGGGAGACAAATGAAGGGACAAAGCGAGACAAATGAAGCTGTCCGCACGGAGAGCCGTGCCAGATCATCCAGGCTGGGCAACAACTGAGGACAAATGAATTCGAAAGCGAGACACAAGGAGACAAATGAACCCGTCCGTGCCAGGCATCCAGGCCTGGAGGCAACGTAAAAGAAATGGAGAGAAAGGGAGACAAATGAATCCGTCCACCGTAGGCTGGGAGACAACGGAAGACAAATGAATTCGTCCACCCAGAAGCAACACAAAGGGAGACAAATGAACCTGTCCACCCAGACAGCCGTGCCAGGCATCCAGGCTGGGAGAGAACGGGAGGCAAATGAAGCGAGACAAGGGAGACAAATGAACCCGACCACCCCAGAGAACCGTGCCAGGCATCCAGGCTGGGAGACAACGGAAGACAAATGAATTCGTCCACCCAGAAGCGAGACAAAGGGAGAGAGCCGTGCCAGCCATCCAAGCTGGGAGACAACGGGAGACAAATTAAGGCAAACAAAGGGAGACAAATGAACCCACATGAAGGGAGACAAAGGGAGGCAAATGAACCCGTCCACCCAGAGAGCCGTGCCCCCAGGCTGAAAGACAACGGGAGACAAATGAAGGAAGACAAAGGAAGACAAATGAACGCGTCAACCCAGAGAGCCGTGCCAGGCATCCCACACTAGGAGACAACCGGAGACAAACGAAGAGGAAGGGAGACAAAGGAAGACAAATGAACCCGTCCACCCAGAGAGCCGTGCCAGGCATCCAGGCTGGGAGACAACGGGGGACAAATGAAGGGAGACAAAGGGAGACAAATGAACCCGTCCACCCACAGAGCCGTGTCAGGCATCCAGGCTGGGAGACAACGGGAGACAAATGAAGGGAGACAAAGGGAGACAAATGAACCCGTCCACCCAGAGAGCCGTGCCAGGCATCCAGGCTATGGCTTGGCAATAGGCGAGTCACTTTAAATGAATTTACAACCCCTCACAGTAAACTGTTTGGGGAAGAAACACTCAACTTAGATGAACAGGTGATGTTGTATTCGATCAAGCGTAGCCTTCCTCCCCTATGAGAAACTGATATGTCCTTTTCAAGACCTTCTGCAGCTTTGGGCCCAAGCCTGGCAAGTTCACAAAGCATAGGACGTCCGCCACGAGCCACAGCGCAAGACCTGCCGCGCTGAAGAAAATGGGAGACGAAGACGGGAAGCGAGCCATGCAAGGCAGCCTAGGACCTTCTTAGGAGAGAACTTCTCTGGGCAGGAACCGAGTGTCTCTCTGGACATGTGCTGAAAACAATGCCATGATCTGGCAAAGGGTGGCCACTCTAAAATATGAAGGACCTGATCTCCCGGGCCACACGGCATGTCTCAGCGCAGAACATAAAACAACTCCCACATTCCAAGACCAAACATGCAAACCCGGCAGAGATGCCAGAGTTGCACCTTTGCAAGCATCCCCAAGAGCATCAATGAGGGCCGAGCCCGATTGATGAATAGGGAGTCTGCAACTGACCAGTTGGAGAGGGTCACTCCCACAAATCAAGTCGGCGGGTTCACTAATCAATCTGCATCAGCATGAGGGATCCCATCGTGTTTAGCTATGAAGTTCAAAAAATGTCACGTCTTTTTCCTAGGCCCTACACAGAAACCGCCCTCCGCCTGTCACAAGCGCCTTGGCTGCTCCACGCGCCATGGTTGTAAACCTCAGCCGGGTGAAACCACCCTTCCGAGACTCCCCCCCTCCCAAGAAGATCAGCCAACTCGGATTTGCCATCTCCACAGCTTCAGACTTAAGAAACAAACGATCCAGCCAATGTCACTCAGCCAGGGATCCGCAGGGTGAATGCAATAGATGGTCCTAAAAATGAATCCGATTGCCACCGTCACCTGGCTGCGTGTCGAAACTAAAGACTGGGGGGGCCATTTTGGGGGAAGGAGCTGCGACAGGGAACCAAAAAGGGAAGGGCCTTTAGTTTGGTACATTCCAACTAATCGCATATGGTCAAAGGTCCCTTTTTGACCCTGGTCTTGAACTGGCAAAACTCTGAGGTGACGAGTTCGTACTTGTTCTGGTTTCTTGCCTCATGTTGCTTTGAAGCTGCTCTTGAGTGGGGTTGTTTGGTTGCTGTAGCGCTCCCAGGGCCCCGCGGGGAGAGCGGAGAGTCGCAGCAGCCAAGGCTTGAGCCGAGCTGGGCGTGCAAGGACGTCGAGGAAACCACAACCCCGCAAATCTTGGCCGGACTTCGTCCCCTGCAAAAAGTTCTTCCTGTGGCCACAAAGGGTACCAAGAAGTTGGGTCGAAAAGCAAGAAGCTGCGGCTCAGGTGGCTTCATGTCTGTGGGTTCCCGTCCTAGTTTTGACAGCACTTGGACTTCAGAGTGGGGCAAAGAGTAAAAACGCATTCCTGACATAGCCGATCTCCAACGAATTTGGAGCGACCTGTTTGCAATTGCTCGCAACTTCATGCACGTGAAATAAGCGTTTGCTTGAGCGGCCCTGTTGACTGCCCTTGCAACGCGACGAGCAGGAAACGGTTGGCCCTGGTCCAAACATCCACTGCCAAAGCCAACGCCAGCTTGCGGTAAGAGACGACATCAGTGACCAGCCGCTCTCCTGGTGACTTGCGGGCTTGGCCCGCAATTTTGGACTCGTGCAAAACCATTCGCCTAACCAGCATGTGTTGTGGCACCTGGCGCAAGGCACCCCGTCATGCTCAGCCACTGCTCGGCCGCGCCACTGCCTGCCAAATACATTAGCAGG